CAAAAGAGGCCCCCGCCTGGGCATGGCAGTCTGGGGTGCAGGTTGGGAGGGAGAAACTATGGCTTCTGGCCTTCAGACCTCTCAGTAATATGACACACACATGGGCTAGGAGAATAGCTAGTATATGGCTCTCTTGGGAGGAGAGGGACTTTACAAGGTAAGGGAAGGAGGGCAGAGAACTCAGGGCTTTCTCCACTCCGAGGGGCAAAGCCCTCAGGAGGGAAGAGTAGGGCATGAAAGGGGAGAGAGGCCAGGCACTGAACGGAATGTGAGAGCCTGCTGCTCCTTTCTTAGCCACAGATGGGATTTTATCTTTATTTCCAAGTGATTTTCTTTCCCCACTGATGTTGGACTACAGCTCCCTCCCTGGGGCAATAGATGCCCCCCCAACTCAGCAGCTTCCTCCCTGCATTACCTTGAAACTCCAACTCCCAACCACCATTAGAAGCCCCCAGGGAGCCACCAAGCTCGGGAAGGAAAGGACGGGAAAGTCCCCCCACCCGTCAAAAAGACTGAGGGGGGAGGAGCCGGGGATGAGAAGGAAAGAGAATGCAAAAGCGCTGCAAAGGGAGGGGAGAGGGAAATGTGATCAGTAGTATTTGTTGTGCTTCCAGAGAGGAAGGATCCGTCACATTTTTAATAATAATAAATACATGAAGACAGATTTGCCAGCACTGCTCTGGCTCCTTGGGAAGTGTGGGGGAGGGGAGCCAATGCAGCTGCAGCACAGGCCAATATCTCCCCTCCCCTCCCCCATTACATAGGCTCAGTATTGCAGCAGCCTGCCCCTCCCCCTCTAACTGCAGTCCTCCCCTCCACAGCCCACCCTCTCCTGGTCCCTTCACATGGCTCTTCTCCGCCCTCCCCTACCTCTCTCCACTCCCCCAGCCCTACTCCATCCTTTCTGCACTGGTCCTGTAACACAGCCCCATACACTAGCTGGAAGAAGGCCAAGTGCCCACATCCGAGGTCTGCTGGCTCCCCCAGCCCGAAGGCCCCGCTCTTTCTGACCAGTGGCCCTCAAGAACTGACAGCAATCTTCTCCCCACAACACTCCCACAGAAGTAATCCAGCATATTTCAGCATTTCCTGAATTCTACCAAAAGGAATTGCCTTTCTCCCCATTTTTATCTCAATGTGACCTCCTTCCTCACAGCCTTAAATATAATGGTCATCAAATGTGCTTGTGTTGAGGGTGTCAGGGCCTCGAGACCCGGTGACTACTGCCACCTATTGACCCAAATTTGTTCAAGATAGACCTTTAATACACTTCTTACACAGCGACGCTCTGTTATTTCAAAAGCATCAATAGCTTAAACATGCAAAGGCATGGCTCTTGGGGCTTCTCTGAGACCCTCTGAACAATGAGATCAAAGAAATACAAAAGCAAGACTGGGCAGAGAGCCAGAGCAATGATGGCTTTCTCTATGCAGAGACAGAAAAGGAGGCCCAAGGAATAAAAAAGCAACTTCAAGTCTTCTCAAGAGCCTGAAAGCAAAGAAGAGTAGGGGGCAGAGTTTTCCTCAAGGGCTGGTAAAATTCTTGTGCATCACAATATGAATAATGCTACCAGCAGAGCAGAAGACAGGGTTTCATTCACACGATTCCGTAAGTTAGCCAAATCCTTGACATGAATCTGAGGTTTACAGATCCAACAGATCTCGGGGAATACAGGAGACACCCAGGATTGCAGCTGACTCTCACCCAAACTGGACCAACCAGAACTAGAGGTTAGACAGATAAACTGAGCTAGGGAAAGGGCAAATCCACACTGTGCAGCTCTATAGATGGGTTTAGCTATGGACTTTCCTCCAACCCACAGCAAGTAATAAGACACCTTGAGCTCTCCATGGTGCTGAAAACTGATACAGTCAAATAATTTCTTCTCATAGACAAAACCTATTTTCAAATAAAGTTTCCATGAAGACTGCTGTGAATTTCTGAGACACTTACCCAAGCCTTCATAAAATCCTAACAAAACAAAGCTTTAAAGGAAAAAAAAAAAATCAACCCAAAAAACGCCTTGGTCAAATTCTCTTGAGCACACCCTAAAATGAAAAGATTAAGGCAGAGATGCTAAATTACTTGTGTGGAATATACCAGGCCTCTCTTACTATTACATGATAACACTGATCAGGTGCTCACACGCACTAATGATAGGCACCACTTAGCAACACCAGAAATGATCTGCCGTCGCACTGCATCAGCGAAATCTGACATTTCTATAGGATGAATGATCAGAGAACTGAATCTGTGAGTAGGAATGAAGGACAGAAGAAAAGTGAACAACAGAACAGTCATAAAGAACCTCTGAAATTCTTAGTTTCCTTGCCCTACTACCCAAACGGCGGTTCTCAAACTGTGATGTACAGAGTTCTGAAGGTTCTTTGGAGCTCCCAGAAATGGGGTCATAAGACCTCGAGGACCCCTCATCCCACTTCAGCTACAGTAATCCCACTTAAAGGTAAACTGTTTTACATATTGAGAAGCCACGCAAAATCCTGTCAATTAACATTCTCTTATTATTTGATGACTGTCCTACAATTATTCTCAGAAATAATTCAACTTTTTGCTGGAAACTTTTTTTATATAGTGCCTAAAGGTCAGAGAAAACAAGATATCCTGGGATTGACTGAATTAGCATAAGGCCCACAAAGGCCAGGATGTTGCCTGCCCTGAACTGCTATACCACCAGGAGGCCACAAGAGTGTCTGGTTTCCTTGAAGGCAAGGCTTCACACAGAAATAAGGCACTAAGGAAAGGAGTGCTCGATGCCACAAACTACCTACAAATTCAAAACAATAACAACAAAAACCCTGAAGACTTTGATGAGCCAGAGGACACACGAAGTTCTCTATTTTCTCAGTTCCCCATTTGCTTTATTATATAATTTACTGGTCTCATGACTTTGGACAAGTGTCTTCATTTCCTCACTAGTTAAATGGAGAAGTCATATATTTTGTGAAAATTAAGTATAAAGCACTTCACTCAGTATGTAACACAAGTAAGATCGCAAACAACAAACAAAATCAAACTTCCCTTTCCCTGGCAGCTCTCATAGTGTAAAAATCTAAATTAGAAACAAACACAGTGGTTCTAACTAAAGCACTAAGCTGAACCACTTGTCCAGTTTGCTCAGTCAGAATGGAAAAAGAATCTCTAAATCTGTTCTTGTGGTTCTTTGTTTAGATTTACTGGAGAAAACAGAAGTATTAGGGCTCCCTAAGATCTGCTATGGACTAAAAATCAGAGGCCTGAGTAGCCCATCTTGATGTCATCCACAAAAGCTCTAGGATCTTTGACATGAAAAGAATCTCAGAGAGTCAGTCTAATGCATTCATTTTCAGCTGATAAAAATTAAATGGTCGAAGATGTTAAAGTGATTTGCCCCAAGTTCAGAGTTAGCAGAAGACAGCCATAGGTCCAATCTTTTAACTGCCTTCTACAAAGCTGTCACTGACTAAAAACAGATGCCCCACCCCCAACCAGATAGACTAGTATAAATCTGAATTCATAGGATTCAGAATCAACAACATTTTATGATGTAATGACCTGAATTATATTCTTGCCCACCCAGGGTCCTACCCAGGAATGC